CTTCCTGGGCATGAGACTCTCAGGGGCCGCTTCCCTTCCCCAGGCCTCAACTTCCTTTTCTGTAACAAGCGACAGTGGAACCAAAATAGCCCTAAGATCTCTCTCATACCTATGACCCAGTAATTCTAGATCTTTACCAGTATTGTGAGCAAGAAAAAAAATGATTACAAAATAGATGGCTTGTAATAGCTTCACTTCTGCTGGTAGAAGATAAATTTTATGGTTATGCTTGTTCTGCATTATTCATTTTCCTACTGATTTGCTAATTGAAATGCTTACAGACGTCCCTTATATTACTGAGAGTTTTTTAATCCTATTGTTTTAGCATTTACATTTCTACTCTATTTTTTCAGTTTTTGGAGGATGGGAGCTTGTCTCTTATTCACTATACAGTTCTTGGTGGAATAACTTTCATGTGCTAGATATATCAGTTATGTTTTATCCCGGAAACCAACTCAGGCTAACATAAAGAAAAAAAAAAACAGAAACAAAAACAGGAGGTAATTGACAGGATATGAAGAGGTTCACAGAATCAAAGGGAAGCTGGGCACAAGGCAGGAACCAAGGGCATTTCAGAGGACGGAGGAACAGAAGTCAGCAGCAAAGACACCATTTCCTGTCTGGAATGGCCCAACCAGAAACCCACCACTGGGGCTGCCCCATTTAAAGAGCCAACGCCAACTACCAAGACTAAAAACAAACGCGCCCTAGTCCATCCGTGTTCCATAGAGCATAGGAAAAATTCCTGCCGACAAAGTTATTGAACACTGAGTCATTAATCTCCAAGTGCATCACATCAGTCACTATATGTGCAGGAGGATTTGCTTTGTTGAAGTAAGAATTACATCTTACAGTCTTACATTTGTATTCTCCAGAGTGCTTTTCCACACGGCAGGAACTTATCATGAAAGAGTGCCTGTAAATGATTTATACATCAAATAAGTCCTCTATTGAAATTTACTAAATTTTACTAAAATATAAGGCTACTTTTCTTTTCTCAGAGAATTGGGCAGACTTATGTTCGATCTTGGTTCTTGTTAACAGTACGCAGGCAAGGTAACTTCTCAAAGCTTTGGTTTCCTCAACTGCAAAATTAAAGCACAAATGTGTATCACGTGGTGAGCAAATGAAAGTAAAAAAATGTCTTTTGACACATCAAGAGCTTTCTAGAATTTAAAGCATGAATAAAAGTCAAGTAAGATTTGGTTCTCTGTTAGCTTAAGCAAGTTAAACTGTGGGAATCAGGGTTTTCTATTGTAAAATGAGAGGGTTAATTTAGATTATCTTTGAAGTCTCCTTGACAGCTATGGAGTTCTGACACTGTAATGCTAGCTTCAATTGTCAAGAACTAACATTTTAATTTTCCTTTTCCTATACATAAAGCTAAATAAATCATGTAATGAACAAAGGGAACCTCCTATTTAGAATAATTCAATCATAAGTTCTTTTTCAAAAGGATGATCTATCCTGATATAAATAATTGTCCTGATTTATGTGTTTTCACATTCTGTTTTTGGACATTTCAGGAAGGAGGTCTTCCTGTGCTTTTATTTTACGATCTTGATCTACAGACCTTACTCCCAGTGTCTTTCATTCATTAGACCATTTCTGCAGGGAGAGGGTGTTGTGAATAGCCAAATGGGCATTTAGTCTCCATTTGACAGATTTCCCATGTGGAAGTGAAAAAGCTCCCTACAGTAATGTGTATTCTGTAAATTGATGTCTTGCTGGTGACAAGATGTCTCCTTCTGAGCAGCTTCTGTAAGTGAATACTTGTGTAATGTCAGTTTGAAATGTGTCTGCTGTAGAATTTGGAAGTTGAAGGAATGGAAGTCAAACAACGGGTGGAAATAAAGGCTTGGACTTGGATGGGGTGGAGCGTGAGGGAGCTCAGAAGCCAAAAGTGGGAAGTACAAGGACAGATAAGTGAGAGCTATTACAGAAATCTCAGCTGTATCAAATATGCATTCATTATGGTGGGCATGTTCACAGGCTTTATTTCATGTTACCTTCACAGTTTATTCTGTATGTTGGGTTCAAAGAAATTAAGTGACTTTCTTGAGGTCACACAACTGACAAGAAGAGTAAGGATTTTCATTCAACTCTTGATGCCAGAGCTAGTACTCTTCTATATCTGTTTGCAGTCCATTGTAACACGAGTTTGAGATGACTTCAACAGAAAATAGAAATATGTAGTCATTAGGCCTTCAATTCTTAGTAGATCCACATACATTTTTTGCCTAAACTGAAAGAGGCAGAAATAAACACGCCCAGAAACACACCTTATTATGTACTGTCACAATTATGATATACAAACTATAGACTTTAATTNACCATGATCTGAAATCACCTTTGTGGTCTGTCTTCCCTCATTGGAACATTAGCTCTGAAAGAAACTAGATACAGTTGGTCTTGGCACATTATATCTCTGGTATCTAAAACAGCACCTGGAAAAAGGTGCCTAATATTTAAAAAATAAAGCACTGTTAAATAATAACTTCCAAATTGATACAAGATATAAATACAATAATTTAAACAATACAAATACTTGAATTAAAACTGGATGAATTCCTCTTTAATTTGGGAATAAAAAAAAGTCATAAAATGGCTCAAATTTCAAAAGTAAGTTAAAGATTAATAAATTTAGCTACATTAAAAATATACATGGATGACTTATGCATGACCAAAGAACACCATAAGCAAAGCCAAGAGAAAGGGCAAACTGAAGGCAATATTTGCTAATACATCTCAAAAGAATATAGTGAATAAAAAGAGCTCCTAAATAAGTACATAGTTTCAATTGTTGTTTTATAAAATTTTTTTAAAAACAGAAAAAGTAAATTCCTAAAAACTTAAGTTGAAACAAATTAACTTAACTGTACAGCAAATTGGTGATATGACCAAAGAAAGACAATAATTTATTCTAATGCCTTTAAAAGACAGTATTTTAACTGTACAGTCATACTGGATGTAATCTAAAGACAAATAGACCCACAGAGAAATCTTAAACTGTTTTCAATAATCTTGTTATTTGCAAGGTTTATATTGTGTTTTTGAAATTATTATACGTAGATTTATAGTAAATCAAATAATTAATAATAGTAATGTGGTAATTCATGTATTTGATAAGCAAGATTTTGAGTGTAAAAAAGACACAAGTATAAAGTAAAACAAGTAAAGAAAAAACATGTAATCTTACACTTAAATTTGAACTATCAGTATGAACTTATGATTTATTTTTCTTTAAAACAAAAAAGGACTCTATGCTTTGTCCACTGAAAAGCCTATCTCAAATAGCTCCCTATAACTCTCTCTCTCTCTCTCTCTCTCTCTCTTTAGTTAGTTAGTTAGTTAGTTAGTCAGTCAGTCAGTCAGCTAGTTTAATTATTGTCCGTCTCTAGAACACATGCGCCATGAGGGCAGGAACTTTGTTTNTTATTATTATTTTTATTATTATTATTTTTTAGCTGAGCCATCCTGCCACCTGTTGGCAGCTCAGCAGCAGCTCAGCTCAGGCCAGGCATCGAACCACTGTTGCTCAGAGCTCGCACTCTTGAATGAGCTCTTAACCAACTGAGCCACTCAGCCGACACAAAATTCCCTCTTTGTTCCTCTCTCCACAAGACTCATGATCAGCCCTTCCCAGGCAGAGGCTGCCCTGTGCATAATGGCATGTGATAATCTCAACACTAATTTCCTTGATTTATCCCACCAAGATTTCTGGTTTTCACATTTAAAATAAATAGTCATTTTTGTGTGTGATCTTGAAATCATGAACTACGTGATGACTTAGACTAATTGTAGCTATAAACACTATCAAGCAGTAGATATGTGAGAAGGAAAATTAATCATCACTCCCTTCCCATGCACACACATTCACTCACACCATCGAGCACGTGAAACAAGGCTGAAGGTGGACTTCTGTCGTGCCTCATCATGCCATTCCTATCTCAAATGAATTTCCACAGGTTTTTTTTTATTTTTGCAGCATCTAATTACAGAACATCAGAAAGCAACAGGGATCCAGAGGTGAACTGAATTCTTGAAAAAAAAAAAAACCAAAACAGAAGCAAAGAGGGCACAGAAAGCTAAGATCTATTCACGATAGATTCGTCAAACTTAAGGGTGCTGAGAAATGCAAGCGTTTAATTCAAAAGATAAATGTCCTTTTTCATAGCCCTTGGGGGGTGAAAATGTCTTTTTTCTCCAAACCTTCTGCAAGTTTTGGTAATTATGTTAGACAAAGGCCAAAAACATAGAACAGAGTGCAGTCTCTCTGAAGAAAGGTACGTTTATTCAGGTTAAAGTTCAAACAATTTATCTATTAGAACTGTTATATACACAAGGTAGCTTATTGTTTCTACCAAAGTTGTCCCAACACTTTAGCAAAAGGATATGGAGAATACAATGGCACACAACCGATGAGTGACAATGGGCATGTGGGTGGGCTCAGAAAGGTGGGGGTGGGGTGGGGTAAGTGTATTTAATACTGGGTCACTTGATTCTTGATCCAGTGCTCTGTTCTTTTCATTACAACCTTCTCTGAGACATTATTAAAAATATTGAAACATCCTTGTCAGCATTGAAAACTTTACTTTTAAATTCGTGGACCAAAGAAATGAAAAGCATCATGCTGTGCCATCCAGATGATAAAGACAATACAAGGAAGATGTGATCCTGACACCAAATTTTAATAGTCAATGGAAATGTCTTACAATTAAAAATGGAGAGGGGAAATTCAGTGCCTTCAGTTTATGTTTTCATCTTTTGCTTTAAGCCGTGTCAAGAAATGCAAGAGCAATGTAAACATCCCATGTTGTCATTCACCTAAAATAAGATTATCTTCCTGAGTGAGATGTTTCAAAGTGCTGTTTTATATGACTTCTCCTAATAGCAGAAGCAACCAGTATTTTTGGAGAAGAAAAAACTGAAATCCGCCAAATCTCAGAAATCATGGTGGCATCTTGGTCTGAGGGCAAGTTTCTATTTTGGTTACCTGCCTACTTTCTACTCACACTTAACGATTGGGGATGAAGTTTGTTGAGTATTTTCCAGAGAGCAGTTTTCACTTCTTTGTTCCTAAGGCTGTAGATCAAGGGGTTCAGCATGGGAATCACCACAGTATAAAACACAGATGCTATTTTGTCTGTGTCCATGGACTGGCTGGAGCGGGGCTGTAAGTACATGAAGATGATTGTGCCATAGAAAATGGAGACTGCTGTGAGATGGGATGCACACGTGGAGAAGGCTTTCTTCCGTACTTCAGCAGAACGCATCCTTTGAATGGTGATGTATATGAAGAGGTAAGATATGAGGATGACCAGGAGCGTGAAAAAGACATTGAAGCCAACGACAAAGAAAACCACCAACTTGCTGATGCATGTGTTGGAGCATGAGAGAGCCAGGAGTGGGGGAATGTCGCAGAAAAAGTGATTAATCACATTAGAACCACAGAAGGAGAGTCTAAATGTGTCTGCTGTGTGGATGGAAGCACTGAGGAAGCCGCAGACATAGGAGCCAATAGCCAGGAGGGCACACACACCTGCTGTCATGGTGGTGGTGTAGTGAAGAGGTCTACATACGGCTGCATGGCGGTCACAGGCCATGCAGGCCAGGAGGTAGCACTCGACCGTGCCAAAACCCGCAAAGAAGAAGAACTGAGCAGCACATCCATTGTAGGAGATGACTTTGTTCCCTGACTGCAATGCAGCCACCATCTTAGGACCTACAGCTGATGAGTAACCCAGGTCTACAAAGGAGAGATGGCTGAGGAAGAAGTACATCGGAGTGTGGAGGCGGGAGTCTGAGTGGATGATTACCATCAGTCCCCCATTCCCAGCCAGAGTGATGAGGTAGACGAACAAAAATACCAGGAGGGGGGGAACCCAAAGATTGGGGTCATCGGTTAATCCCAAGAGGATGAACTCTGTCGCTTCTGTACTATTCTCCATTGGGGTCAACTTCGATTTAGCCTGGTGATTAAAGAACAGAAGCCGATGCAACTCAGATGAAAGTACAAGAGGAATGATGGGATGATAGTGTCGGGGAAGAGGAGAATTTCCCCCTTTATCCTTCTTAGGTTCTTACAGCTGGACTAATAAAATAATAAAAATGATACACAAGTAGACTAACAGGAGAAAAACCAATTTAATATGTGTGCACGTGAGAATATGATGCTCAGGTCATAAAATGAGGCTCAAAGAAATCATCAAACCAGGCATCTTTTTATACTGTTCAGACAAAGAGACAATAAATTTGTGAGAAATTGACAGGACAAAGAAAGTTAGTGCTCATTAGAAAGGAATCTAAGCAAGGTTTGGGCGTAGGTAGTAAATTAGTCAAGGCTACCAGGTTTGTTTATACATGCTTTTTTGACTGGATTTTTTAACTCTTGTGATCAGGTTGTCTCTCAGCTGTCAAGAGAAGCGAGGGCACCTGTCACATGGAGGTTTATTTCCTGCATTTAGAGAGACAGAGAAGAGACAGAGAGCTTGTCCTGCTCCTGCTGTTTCTTAAGTCATTTTTATTTGAAATAATCAATCTGCTAGTGTGAGATAACTTGGGGCAGCCTGCGCTGGGCCTAACAATATAAATACAGACTACCAATACACCGGGGGTACAAAAAATGTATACAAGTGGACACGTTGGTCAACGTTGCTCAAGCTGTAGTTCACTGTAATCAGAAGTGTCTGGACGCTGATGGCAACTACTTTGAGCACCTCTTGTAATTGCAGAAGTCAAACATGACTTGTATTCATCTTTTGTTATTGGTATACATTGAGTATTACAATTTTAATACAGTTTTCCTTTCTTAAAATGTGTATACATTTTTTGGCACCCTCTGTATATTGAGAATGTACTATGTGTAAGGCACATGCTAGGCCCTTCCATTATATAATAGCATTTATTCCTGTGAAATTAGTGCTACTCTGCCCATTTTATAGATGAGAAAGTTAAGGCTTGGGGAGCTTAGTATTGACTAGAATAACCTAATTAGTAGAGGTCAGAATCAGAGTTCACACCTTTGTGTTTTGGAGTCCAAAGTCCATATACTCAGCGCTTAGATTATTCTACCTATTTACATCATATCAAACAAATTATGACGTGTCTGATAGCATTGTTTTCGAGATTTTATTTATTCAATTTCAAAAAATAAAAACGAGAACAGTATGAAGTTAAAGAGTATAAATCCCTCATTCCTTGCCTGCGTATTTCATTCCCAAGAATATAGCTTCTATGGTGATTTCCTGACATTTTCTATGCACATATAATTGTATGGCATTAATCATAATAATAGCTCACTATATCCCAGACACTGATCTAAGGGCTTTACTTGTGGTTAACTCATTGAATTCTCACACCAGCTCTTTGGGGTTGATTCTATTATTTCCTTCATTTTATACAAGGAGTAACTACTGTACAGATGACAAAGCTGCACTCCCTTGTTTCAACTTTGTCACCTTTATAAATAATGTTCTATAATATAAAACATGCAAACAGGGCATTTTGCTTTCTTAGATTATTTTCAGTTGGAAGTATATGTTACACTTGGTCTCCTTTTTCTAGCTACTGTCTCCTCCTAAAATCTAGTGGATTTTTAGATGGGACTGGAGAGCTCACATTATAAAATAATAATAATAATAATAATAATAATAATAATAATAATAATAAACTATTGCCCAAAGTCACATAACTGGTAAGTGTTGGAAGTGGAATTAAAACCTTGGTGTGTCTGATGTTAAATCCAGAGCTCTTAACTACAACTTTTAATGTCTTTATGAGTTTATCCTTCAACAGTTATTTAATTGAAATTTATATTTATATATTTACAGGGAGATAAACAGATCTCCACCTCCTGTCAGAAGTCTTTGTTATTGATCCTGGTTACAATGAAGTCCTCCCTTCTCTGATTTCTCAAAGCATTTGAGTCTTGCTTGATTATCACAGAATTAGTGGGCAACCACCCAGCTCCTTAACTGGCGCTAAGCCCCTTGGGACAGAGACAGTCTTCATCCCCTCTGGCCACCCAGCCTACTGTGTGCTGTTGCCCACGTAAATAAATATTTGGTGAATTCCATAGAACATCTAAGTGTTTAAACAATTTTTCATGCTAACTCTACAACAAACAGTTGATTGTTCTCTTGTCTAGTTGGATCCATGTTTCCTGCCAAAATATTAGCTCGGACTTGTGGTATGAAAACTATTCAGAAGTAAAACAAGATTGAGGATGGACAAGCCTGGGGAGAGACTGTGTCCTAATTCTAGGGCACAAGGCTTTCTCCTATTGTTTTTCCTCAGCCTGAGATTGTTTACAAGCTTTTCCTGTCCTTGGTAGCGGAGTGGGTGGAAACAGGCTGAGACAAGGGAAGGGAGAAGATGTGTGAAGAAAAGAAAGGATGAAACGAGGGACTAGGAGAAAAACGTTTCAGCTCCACTTGACCTTGGCTTACCTTGGCAAGCAACTGCCGTGATCAGATTTGTAAGGAACATTTTTTATACCACAGACAGAATGGGGCAGCCCAGCCCATCCTGCTCGGGTAACAATTACACATCCAAGCGTTCGTGGCTGGACTTGTAAGAACTGGCTCAGCCAGCTTGTGAAACACTGCTGGACAGGAACCACGATGACATTATACTCCTTCCTTTCCAATTTTCCACCTTTATAAACAGTGCTCCAGTGAATAAATACCCTTGTACATGTCTTTTCACACCTCTTCTTTCTTAGGATAACTTCTTAGAATTTGATATTTTTCATCTGCTTTTTGCTTACTGATAGATTTCCATCCAGTAATGTATCGATTAACTTTCCAACCAGAAGCACTTTCCGTTACATTTATCCAGTCCTTTCGATTTGTTTTTTCCTTTTGACTTTTGTCATGTGTGTGTAGTCTCTAACTTAGCAGATATAATATCCTACAATCTGTGATAAGCGGTTTCCTGATTTTACATATTAGGAAACTGGGGTATGTAGTGCCCCTCAAGGTCACACGATTACATAATTGCAATATCTATACAATACCTCGGAACAGAATTTCTCAACCTCTGGATGCATGTGGAGCTGGGGGTCTGGGGGAGGCTGATCTGTGCATCGTAGGATGTTTAGCAGCATCCCTGGCCTCAACCCACTAGATGCCAGTAACATACCCACCTCTCCAGTTGTGGCAACCGACAATGTTTATAGACACTACCAAATGTCCCCTGGGGCAGTGGTTTGTCTGGTTGAAAACCACTGTTCTGCAGTTTATAAAGCTCTGTTTGTGTTCATTTTATCATTTAATCACAACAATTCCATATGTTACATATTTTATATAATGTATTTTACAGCATACGTATATATTTTATATTTATGCAAGACAAAGTGGCTAGTTCAAGGTCCTGAGTGCCAGCCAAATATTGCTGCTCATTGGTGGGGGAGTCCAAGTCCTGTGAACCTTCAACTAAAGATATATTCATCCTCCTCTCTCATAAACCAACCTCTTCTCCAATACAACGAAGGTTAAATGACCTGGGAAAATCTCCAAGAATGAAAGGCAGCTGACTTGGCGTGGATTCTGAATTCTATTCTCAAACATTTATTCGATCAAAGTCCTTGGTTAATACTGACCGCTGGATTGTATTCACCTAATCTATAGGTCTGATTTCTCATAGTTATCACACATGCCCTACATTGAACCGCCCCACACTGCTGTCTTCGTACATTAGTAATTAATATTCAAGGCATTTTGTTCCCTGTATGGAAAACCCTTTCCATTATGCACCACAGTTACTGTTTATAAATGTGTCTGGATCTAGAACAGCAAGGAGAAATCTGGAATCATGCAGAGAGAGGAAAGGCTGCTTTTCCTGAGCACCATTCCCGAAGGGCAGCAAGGCGCCAACTCAAACCCCATTGCTGCTGGTGGTGTATTTCCTCCCACCCAAGTCCTGCAAAGGCTAAGCTTTTCTGCACTGGCCGAAAATACATATCAGAAGGAGCGGTGAAAAAGACACTTAAAAAGCATTTAAAGATAGTACTTGTTAAACTGCTTTATGTAATAAATAACAAATGAGTTGAAATAACAAAAGTGTGTTGAAAACTGAAAAACATTAAAACTTAAGGGATTATAGGAGTCTAAACCACCAAGACAGGTAGTCTGGAAATAAAAGTTTTATCAGAATTGTTCCTAAAGGGGTTTGAGGAATCACCCCCATCCATCAAATCCCTTTTGGGGAGTTACAAAGGAGACTCTCAATGAAAAACTATTGGACTAAATTCCAAGAAGAAAGAGACAAGGCCTGTCGCTGTTTTGTGAATTATTATTCGTGGCCTACTATGTGCCAGGCACATAGTAGACTTTTAATTATTTGCTAAATCAATCAATGGACTAGAAGCTCAACAGTTGAGTTAGATTAATGGTTTTAATGCTTACTAGCTGTGGACTGTAAACAAGTCAATTTCCCTCTATCAATAGAAGATTAAGTAAGATAAAATATGGAAAAATCCAGCCACTGTGTGATCTGTGGTGGGTGTTCAATACAAACCAATTTATTCATCTTATTATTAAATTGTTGGTTGATCATATGAACTTGGACTTTAACATCAGTTGGTAGCAACATTTTGTCTAGCAATGACTATGTCAGTTTTTGTTTGAGAAATTATGACCCAAAATTACCTATCAGAGCCTCACTCTGTCTCAATTTTTTATGAAATGTGTCAGAGGAGAGTCGGTGTTTTTTCACCTACTTCTGAGTCCCTTTCTCCTGGACAAACCCGTTATTTCTACCCACAGTATGAAAAAGTCGGGGAAAAACATACCTGGTTTCTTGGGGATTATGAGATCTCAATTTAGTGCTGCCTTCCACTACCGAACTTTTTGAAGTCTGAAAAAAAAAAAAAAAGAAGCTGTTTGGTCTCTAAGGATGTCAGATTTCAAATATTAAAAGATTTCCTGAGGCTGAGTGGTAAAAATGT